CGCGTGCGGGACGTGCGGGAGCGGGGCAGCCCCCCGCCCGGCCTCACCTCTGCTCCATCTCCTGCTTCATGTCGATGCCCTGCTTCTCCAGCAGCTCGCGCTGGGCGAAGGCCCAGTCCACGGGCTCTGCGGGTGTTTCGGCACAGGGCGTGCGCTCGCGCTCCTGCCGGGCCTGCTCCGGGTGGTTGAACCGGAACACGTGGCTCTTTCCCATGATGATGCGGTTTCCTGGGGGATGAAGGCAAGGCCAGAGGTGGGGGACCTGCGGCGTCGGGGTGGCCTCGAGGGGTGACAGAGGCGGGAGGAGAAGGGAAAGGGGAGAACTGGGCTCCCGGCGTCGCCCGCCCAGGACCAGCCCACAGGGCCCTCGGCTCCGTGGCTCTCCTCTTGCCCTTGGCCAGGACCTGACCGCGCCTCTTCACCCTGTCCAGTCCTGCAGCTTCTGCGTCCAGTCCTTTCTATGGCCCCGCAGGTGCCACCCCCCAGGCCAGCCTCCCCTCCCAGTGGGCCGCCCCGAGCCAGGCCCGAAACCACAGGGGAGAAGGGGCAGGAGCAGTGATCCGTGCACTGCCCTCCCGCACGCCCACAGCCCTAGAAGCAGGCGGGCCCCACCTGCAGAGGTGGGACAGGGGCCTCCCACCCGGCCGTACCTGACCGCAGGATGCTGGGCTCCGTGACCTTCTTGCCATTGACGTAGGTGTCTGCTCCTTCACAGGGCTCCAGAGTCACCACAGCTACAGGACAGGCAGGAGGGGCAGACAGGCCTGTGAGGGGCTGTCATCGTGGCTGCCACTCTGTTTACCTGCAGGGCCCGGCTCACCAGGCCACCCCGTGCGGCCCCCGCCAGCTTCTCTCCACCCCGCTGGCCGTGAGCCCTCTCAGGCCTGGTACTCCGCAGGGCAGTGCTACCTTCGCTGCCTCCCCGGGAGTCGCTCCGGAAGACGCAGTGCTCCTCCTTGATGAAGTGCCCGCTCAGGACAATGTCCTGTCGCCTCTCCGCATCCTCTCGGCCCACTCTGCGGGGGACAGGGGCGCCGTCATCAGTGCCCACGATGCCCCCTCTGCCCCCCAAGGCCTCCAAGGACACCCAGCCACGCTCTTACGGGAAACACCCAAGGCGCACATTAGTGGGAGACACAGGACACACCCAAATGCAGCAGGTCCTGGGAGAGCCGCATGGCCCATGGCCCAGTGGCAGGCAGCGTGGCCCCTGGCGAGCACGGGCAGGCAGCATCCCCGGCCCCACCACCCCAACGCCTGCCGCCTCACCTGGTGAGCCCATCCTTGACGTAGTACAGGAGGCACTCAGACATCAGCGGGTCCTCGTTCAGGTTGACAAGATGCGGCGTCTGGGGGGGATAGGAGGGTCACCTCTACTGTGGGGAGCAGGAGCCCAACACCGGCTGCCTGCTTGGCCCCTCTCTCCCTGGGTGCCAGATCACCACCGGCCCTGAGCTTCGCCTGGCAGGGGACACAGTGTCCTCCTGGCCTGGCAGGGAGGACAGGAGATGTGAAGGAAAAGGCTCCTTGAGGAGGAGCCTTTGACTGGGACCCAGTGTCTTGGGGGAAACAGCCTGGGGGCAAGCTTGGAGGCTCAACCCCAGCATGCAGGGGAAGTGGGGCTTCGGGAGGGGCTAGGGGCCCAGCCCTCAGCACTCAAGGGCTCAGGGGGCTCTTGGAGCTACAACAGGCCCTCAGACGTGCAGGGTGCAGAGGGTCCCAGCACTGGCCCTGCACTCCAAGATCCTGGACACCCTGGAGTGAGGGCTCCAGTAAGTATTTGAGCCAAGGATTAGGACACTGGTCATGGGAGCCCCGGGCCTTAGGAGTTGGGAGCAGAGAGGGTGTGAAAGTCCCCTCCCAATCACCGCCCCTACCTCTCCTGTCCACGGTCTAGCAAAACGTGGCCCAAGAGCAAGTGACCAGCTCCCATTGACGCCCCCATCTAAGCACTGCCCTTGGCTCCCTGCCCACCCCATCCTGGGGCAGCTGCTATAGCTCCACCCACTGGGGCCCAGACACCTCCACCTCCACTTCCTCCACTGCTCTCACCTGGGTCTTTCTGGGCCCCGACCCTCCCTTAGCTCAGGAACCCCACCCACCCTGTCCCGGGCAAATGTAAGTCTGGCAATGCACCACCTATGTGCCTGTGCGAGGTTCTGCGGGTCATCAGACGCCGGGACAAAGCACCCCCAGCACCCCGTCCCCGAGCGGGAGTGTGTGGAAAGGCTGTGCTGGCTGTGGGTGGGGACAGCTGACTGTGTGGCTCCTCGGAGTCCCAAGGATGCTGTGGTTCTCAGGTGGTGTCTCTGCTGGCCCCACAGCCATCCTCCCACACCTGAGCCATGCCAAACCCGAGGCCACAAGGGGGACGGAGAACTGCAGGCACCCAGTGCCCCAAGGCGCCTCCTCCCCGGCTCCACATGCCAGCCCAGGGGCGCCCTGCCCTCCGGGAAGGGGCAGGGTCCGAAACAGCCCAGGAACAATTGGCTGCCGGTGACAACCAAGGCCTCTCCAGAAGGGGTGTGAAGTACGATGCTGTCAGGGCCATCCCTGCTCCCCACCCTGCCCCAGGTACCCTCTGTTTGGCCTCGGGGCCTCAGCATGCATTGCCCCCCCCCACCAGCCTGGGGTACATGGGGGCAGAAGCCTGAGGAGGCTGCCCCACCCCAGGGAGCCTGTCACAGCAGCACCACGTGCCTCTCTTCCCTTGGGGTCCCCAACCGCCCAGTGGGGGCTCCACGTGCCTCTGGCTTCAGGGACTGCCAAACAAAGCCAGGGTGGAAGCTGGGGAGCTGATCCGCCGGAGGCAGGCCAGGCGCTTCTTCACCCACAGGGTGGCAGAGGCAGGGCCTGGAGACCCACTGCCACAGCCTCCAGGAAGGCTTCCTGGCTTAGAGCTCCCTTCTAGAAGCTTTGGAGTGGGGCAGAGGGGAGTCTGGGTCCTAAGTCAGCAGACCTTTCCCCAAATGCTCGTGCTGTGCTGCATCAGAGCTACTGAATGGGGGGGCTCTGCTCCACTGGAGGGACCCCAGCTGGCAGACCCAAGACCTTGCCAAGGGCCGGGTGTGGTGAGTGTGCCAGGCCTGGTAGGAGAGGAGGGGTCCCTGCTGGAACCATGGGACCCCACCTCGGCTAAGCTCTGAGAGGGCAGCTGGCTCCCAGCTCTGCGTCTGTCCACACCTGCCCGGGGGCCGCACAGGCTCCTGGTGAGGTCCTTTACCATGTTTTAGGTCTCCAGCTGGAGTGTGGGTCTCCAGGGTCGCCTGACTTCAAGGGACCCACTCCACTCCTTGGACACCTGAATGACCCGTCTGATGTCCCAAGGCCCCAGGGATGCCCGGCCGTGAGGAGGTGGGGCTGGGTCTCTCCCTCGGGGGGCCTGCGAGTGTGGCCGTGCGAGTGTGGCCCCCGGTTCTGGGACCTGGGGCCATGCTCCCCCTGCCTCCCAGCGTTGCTAAGACCCCACCAGGCGGCCCTGCGATGCCAGGCCGAGCTCTTACCTTCTTGGGAGAGAACACGCCCAGGGTGCCGCCATCCTCCCTCATGGCCACGCCCATCTCGGCCAGCAGCGCTTCCCTGGGAGGACAGAGTCGGGGTCCGCTTGAGCCCAAGAGGCTGCAGGAACCACCTCGTCGCCAACTGACCAATTGACTGACCGGGAGCCAGTGGGGCTCTGGCCACACGGCCCGTGGGCAGTGGCCATGCAGTGACCCATCTGGTCAGGGGGTTAAGGTGTCCGCTTGAAGGGACGGGCCACCTGATCAAGAATCAAGGCCACAGGGGATGTGAGGTGGGGTCGCCGGGTGAGCGGGGACGGGCCTGCCCGGAGCCCAGGGCTGCGCGGGCCCCGCCACGCTACGCACCTCTCCATGCGGATGGCTTCCGTCCTGCGCAGCTTCTCCTCCCACGTCTCGTTGAGCTCCGCTATGATCTTCTCCGTCTCCTGGGGGTGACACAGAGCAGCGTGAGGTCGGGGCCCGGGGCAGGAAGCAGACAGAGGCCCTGGGGCCCGGCGGACGGGAGACGAGCCGGTCTGCAGGACACCGAGATCCCAGTCCCCGGTCCGCCGATGTCTGAGGATCAAGGGCTGAGAGGTCAGCGCGTGTCCGAAACTGCATAGCTCCCCACAGATGCACCTGGACAATGGAGGCAAAGGCGGAACAGCCCAGAAGGGAGAGAAACCCACGTGGGGACGCCAGGGCGGGGCTCGCCGCCCACAGCCTCGCTGCTTCCTCCCGCCCCACAGCCGCACGGCCCCCACCCCAGGAGGGCCGCCACGCCCCATAGGGCCCCACGTACCCCAGGTGGGCCCCCGTACCCCATACTGGCCATATGTACCCCAAGTGGGCCCCATGTACCCCAGGTGGGCCGTTGCAATCCAGGTGGGCCTCAAGCTCCAGGGTCCTACCCCCTCCCACCCCGGCCTCAGGTCCAGCCTCTGTGCCTTTGGACCCTCAATCCCCTCAGTATCCAAAGTCTGGGGTCTCCCCGCACCTCAGGAACATTGGACAGGAAACCTAAAACCAGCCAGGCCCACTGCCAGGGATCAGAGAGTGATCATGGGCACAAGGGGACCAAGAAAGATTCACGCGCACAGGACACCTAGGACACCCACCCGCCCTTGTCAGGAAACGGGGGCCCTGTGGTGCCGGGCGGAGAACGGTGACGATGACGAGCACGGAGGGGATGCCAGCGCCACCGCCTGGCTCACTGCGCCTCCAGCCAGCCCCTCTTCCGGCCCCGGGTCCAGACTGAGGGGTGCTCCGGGGCCCTGACACCCACGTCCCCACGCTCACCCCACTTCCAGGTGCCTGCGCCTTGCCCGGCCCTGCCCTCACCTTCAGCCTTTCGATGGCCTCCTCACTGCCTGGGGCAAATAGGAGGCGCTCGTGCAGGCTGGACACGGAGGCTGCACGGCTGGACAGGGCCGAGAGCGAGGACGACGGGCTCATGCCCACCAGGGCGTTGGTCACTGTGGAGAGATTGTCAGGGGCTTGACTCAGCTCCGCCCCGCCACGGTTACCGTTATTGTTCTCAAGGTCGGACATGTCTACGGGAGGAAGGGCGGGAGGGGCAGACAGACGGGAAGGAGAGAAAAGAGACATGAGTTGGGAGAAAGCAAGAGGTAGGCGAAGAGAAGGCTGGGAACAGAAACCAGGAGCGGGGCGCAGCTGCCAGGCGCCCGCACAAGCGCATGCAAGGCCGCCTGCCACCCCCGTGATGGGCTCCGGCCCCATGCCCAGCGCCCGCAGCAGCACGGCAGCCCCCTCTCGTCCCCCTGCCCTGGACGCACACTCCCAGGCCGCCTGGCAGCCTCTGCACCTGAGCTCCGTGAGCGCCACGGCACCTCCGCCCTCCCCGTGCCTCCTGCACCATCTACGACCCTTCCCTGTCACCGCAAAGCAGCCACCGACACCTGGGCCCTGTCGCTCGCCCTCATCCTCCCTGCTATGGACACCCGCCCCACCTGGCCCTCTATGCATCCCCGAGCTGAGGGGTTGGGCCGTACTAACTGTCCAGCCCTGAGGAGCACCCTGGAGAAGTGAACTGTGGGAACCCCAGAGAGCCCCAACTCCTCCAGCCTCAAGAGGCTGCTCTGAGCCCAGGGTCTCCCAGCACTAGGGCACCCAGGGAGCCCCTAGCCACCTGGGGGCCCCCTAAGGCCTGGGAACTGGGGCTGTGACACCCCCTGGGGCGGGAAGTGCCAGGCCCCTCCTTGCAGAAGCAGACACGCAGCGGAGCAGTGGCAAACAGGACTGTGTGGGGCGCCGGGGAAGCCGAGGGCCCCGCGGCCCGTGGGGTTGGGGAGGTGCTGACCTGCACGTCCCCCGTCCCAGGGAGCCAGGCCCAAGGCCAGCAGGGGACACAGGCTGGAGAACCTGGCAGCATTCAGATTCCTGGGGGAAGGGGGTCCCGGGGTGTGAGGGCCACAAGGAAGCCGGAGCCAGGAGCCAAGGACGGACCTGGGCCCCTGGAAGTGACACTTGGAGCCTCCCAAGCCTCGGCAGCACGTGGGGCCAGAGAGCCTGAGCTCGGTCACTTTTGGCCTGGGAAGGCCTTGGCTGTGCCTTGCCTCCCTGGCGCCTCAGTTTCCCATATAGACATGGGACGTGACCCCACATCTCCCGCCTGTGCCCCCGACACCCCGCGGGCAGGACGAAGCAGGGTGCACAGAGAGCAAGGGGATACACACATTTGGGTCCTCCGGGCACAGTGCTGGCTACGGGTGAGGAGAGGCGTGGGTGAGCGGGGAGAGACAGAGAAACGGAAGAGCAGGTTTGTCTCTGGAGGGTCCAGGGCTCACCCGTCTCTGGTCGGGCGTTAGGCAGGTGGCCGTGGTCTTCAGCAGGGACTCAGGGACCACCACAGCCCCAGCACCCGTGGCATGCCAATGTGGCTTCCAGGGAAACCGTCTCTGGCCTGCTTGAGCCAGCACCAAACCCAAACCATGCAGTCCTCCCGGAACCCCAGCCTCCCACCCAGGGTGGCTCTGCCCAGAAGCACAAACAGGGCCCTGGGACAGGGACAGAGGGGTCGCAGTGGCAGCCTGACCCGCCCCAGCCCCGGTGGTGGTCCCAGAGGGAAGCCGGCCCACCCCGAGAGGCCCCTAGGGACCCACAGCCCGGCTACCCTGCCCAGGATAGACTGATGCAGATACTCACTGTCGGTGATGTCCCCGAGACCCTGGGCATACAGCAGGTCCCGTAGCCGGGTCACCTCGTCTTTCAGCTCGCGGATCAGCTTGTTGTTGGGGTCCTCGTTGATGACCGCGTTGCAGCGGATCTGCTTGGCCCGGTCGGCATACCTGGGCAGCAAAGGGAGTGGCGGGCTGTGCCCGTGCCCCGCAGGCCCGAGGGGTGGGGGTCAAGCGGGGCCTGGGGGCTTCGTCAGAATAAGGAATCACCCCCACTGGGAGTCGCTAGGGCCACTGACCAGAGACCTACAGGTGGGGTCACGCAGCCCCAGCTCACCCACTTGGGGAAGCCGAGGCCCCAAGAGGAGAAGGGACAGGGTGGCATCTTCTCCTCCCAGTGAGGCCTTCACACCTGGACCTGTGGCCCCAGGGTGGAGGGAGCCAGTAGAAGTGTGAGGGTGTCCACGTGTCTGCATGTCCGAGCCCACACCTCACACAGCCAGCACAGACACAGTCACCGATGAGTGTGGGTCCCTGAGTGGGCCCCGTCTCTTTACTGCTAGTAGTGCGTGGGCCAGAGGCCAGAGAAATTGATGTGGCCTGAGGGCTGGGGGCCCAGGCGCGCCCCCCGGGACACTCATCTCTCAGCTAGAGGAACCTTTAGGACACACGTGCACCCCTTTGCTAATTAAAGACCCCTGGTGGCTCCCACGCTGACAGGTGGGTGCCAACTGCTCAGCCCACGGGCACAGCTCTCCTGGCCTCATGCCACAGGCGCCTGGGGCCACTCACAGCCCCAGAGTGCACCCTGACGGGCAGCGGGGCCTGAACGGGGTCCATGAGGACCCAGGTGCCCCCGACAGCCATTGGAGCCTCAAGGTGTCACAGCTGAGACAGCCCCCCGCCAAGAGGCACCCCTCTCGCTTGTGTTCCTGACTTGAGCAGGAAGTGACCACGCCCACCGAGCCAGGTCGGGGCGCAGGGCCCACCTCCCTCAAGAACACACCTCAGCGTGCTCAGAGTCTCGTCGTAGTTGATATCTGCAGGACTCAGGGCTGCCACCATCGCTGTCCTCGAGTTCCCACCTGTGGGGAAAAGACAAGGCTGGGCCGGAAGGTCAGCCCACTGCCACATTCTCCCTACTGTCCCCTCTTACATTTACGGCTAAAGAGGCTGAGGCCCAGGGAGGTAAACTGAGTCATGATGGGCCAACTGGGTGAACACAGAGGGGCTCTGGCCTTCATCCCTGCACCGCGCATCTTGGCTATTTTTTCTTCTATCCAGTGTTTTCCCCACATTTGGGGTCGTTTTACAGCCAGGCCTCTCCTCCCCATCATGAGGAAGTTGAGAAAGATTTCACGGCATTTACTGTAGGATAAGGACTGTTTATGTTCAATAATATTTTCGCTCTTATCGTTCTCATTTGGAATATTTTTCTCAACATTCGTTCTTGGCCCAGGGAGCATGGATGCCAGCACCAGGCAACGCACTATGTGAGGACACGGACCATCCAACTGCGGGGCAGCGGCCTGTCAATCATCTCCAGCTCCTAACCTTGACTACCGGCCGCTGGTCCTCTCAGGCTGCTGCCCGTCTGTGCTCAGGGTTTGGACAGGCGGCCTCTCCCGCCTGACCACAGGGACCTGTGTCCTGGGGCCATCTTCCCATGGTGTGGCCTCTACACGGACTGTGAGGTGGCAGTGTGAAGGGCTTGGGGCGTGACACCAAGCCCAGAAGGATTACACAAGGGGCTCCCTCTGCCCTCACCCTGGGGCCAGACCTGGGCATGGCCCTGTGGGAGGGGCCTCCTTGCCAGCCTATGCCTCAGCTGAAGGGACTCCCATTCCTGTGACACTGCCACCTGCTCCGGGGGGCTTCTGTCTGCCGGCTCCTCCACCCAGGAGGCCCGGATGGCTTTGGCATGCGATCTCAGCCATGCAGCTGAGGAAGGCCAGGGATCCCCAGTCAGCCTGGGACTCAGTTTACCTCCCTGGGCGTCAGCCTCCCCAGCTGTGAACGTAGCAGGGAAGGACCCCAAGGTAACTTTTGGGTAGGAGGCATTTCAGTCTCCATCTCCCCTACTATCTCTCACTGGTTCAGAACTCAGTCAGAGAGAAGTGACTTATGGCAGCCTGACAAAACCCAGCAAGCAAGCAGGGCTCCCCAGAATCATGGAGTCTCAGGTCCCTGCTACAGATGAGGAAACTGAGGTCCAGGGACAAGTGGGTACTTGGTCTGGGGGTTACAGACCTGAACCAGAGGCACCGACATGGGAATGTGTGCCCTACGGCCCCGTGGGTCATCCTGGTTGCCCACACCTGCTATCATTAACCCTTTTCCGGCCACTGCCCCAAGCCCTCTAGAAGGACCCCCAATGTTTGCCTCAGCCTTGGCCCAGAAAGGGTGAGAGGCTTCCTAGTGGCCGGGCACCCCTTCCAGATAGGAAGACAGGACAGTGGCCCAAGGTGGAAGTTAGGACCCCAGGGATGGGCGAACCCGTGAGTCCTCACCCAGGTTTTCCCTGAGGAGCCAGGTCAGCACCGAATCTCTGTATGGAATGAAATCTGTCTTCTTCTTTTTCTTGTTCTGTGGGGGAGGAACATTCAAGGTCAACCCTGAGCTTATGGAGGCGGGGGGGCAAGTGCAGTGCCTGCAGGGTGGTCCCCAAAGCCAAGGCTGCCACAGCGGCAGGGCTGGGCCAGTTCTCAAGGCTTCTCCCCACCCGACCCCCAGGGCGCCGCCCCAGGCACCTTCACCCAGGGCTGGAATCAGGAACTTGCTAGCATGTCCCTCAGCTTCCTGCCTTGTCCACCCCACTGCGTTTCTGGGCTACACAGCCGGACCTAAGCCCATGTGTGCTGGTATCACTGGCCAGCGTGTCCTTCCTCCACTCCGTCAGAACCAATCTGAGCCCATCGCCCCCGCTCAAACACCGGCTCTACTGACTAAAAAGAAAAGCCCCACCACTAAATGTGGCATTCCAGACGCCCTCTCCCCATCTGCACAGAATTCATCTTCCATCTCCCCCATCAAACTTCCTACTGTCCTACGGAAGCCAGCTCAGAAGCCCCCGCTTTAATACCTGCTCCCCTCAGCCCTGCCCTCACAGCAAAGCATCCTCCACATTCTGGCTGCTCCCGTGGCTCTTTAAGCCTCTATTAAGGCAAACAGACTTCAGCCCAGGCAATGGCTGCTGGGAATCGTCTCTCGTAGACACTCCGTGACTGACTGAACAACTCCCGTTACCCTGGGTATTCAGATTCTCTCCCTTGTCTGCCCTTTTGTGTACACAGCTGCTTCAGGAGTATTTGTTGAGCACCTGCAGCAGCCAGCAGACATCGCCCCTGCCTACCAGAGCCCCCAACCACGGAGACACACACGGGTGCCAATAGGTGACTGTGTCATTTCTCTGGGGGCAAATGCATTAGTCATTGTTTTCTAGAATGATCCTCAGGGGTAGCTCCGCCAGCTCTCAGGGGACATGAATTGTGAAAGCTCTTGAGACATGCCGTCAGAGTGGGTTTCAGAAGTGCCGTGCCACGTCTGTGCGAGCAGGGTCTGAGTCCCCGAGTCGTCAGTATTTCTATCCTTTGGAAACTTGGCGGGTGAAAAACTATTTTACTTTGTTTTTTGATTTAATTCCAGACGCTGAATCTCTGCCATGTCTGTCCTTGTTCCCCTAGTAAATGCCCGATAATCACTCGGTTACTTCAGCAAGGAGCACGAGAATCATGGTGGAGTCCGCGCTCCCTCCCCGGTGCCCACCCGCCCTCCAGCCTGCACATCTCCACCTGGACCTCTGCGACACTGACCTTCCACTGTCCCAACTGCCACATCGGGCCACCCCGCTCCCAATCTCTTCCCCAGCAGCGGGGGACACGTTCCAGACTAACTTAGACCTCGCGAGCCCTTCTGACGCCCCCACTGCTTCCCGCTAACCACAATCACCTAGTTTCTCACAGCGGAGCAGGAACCCCAGATCAGGTCCCTCCCGCCCTGGCCTCGCCGTCTGCACGCCTGTCCGCCCTGCTCCAGGGACTCTTCCTCAACTGGTGCCTCATAACCGTCTCACTCAGTTCCTTGAAAAGTCTCCTAAACATTTGCCCACAGTCCCCCACACGGTCCCCACACGGACCCCACACAGCTCCTCACGCAGATCATCACCGCACCCCTCGCGGAGCTCCCCACGTTTCCCCGGTCCTCACTTCCCCACAGTCCGTGCGGTTCCCCACACAGCCCCCTCCTCACGGTTCTTCCCGTCGCTCCACCCAGACCCCCGCACAGGCCCGTGCGCGGTTCCGCACGCGGTTCCGCACCACTCCGCAGGCCCTGACGCGGCCCGGCAGCTCCTCGTGCACCATCCCTCAAACCATCTCACTCTGTCCCTCACACCTTCCCTCACGTCATCACTCACGCCGTCCCTCATGCCTTCCCACACACCAGTTCTCACCGTCCTGCACAGTCCCTCGCCCCGCCCCTCGCCCCGCCCCTCATTCTGTCCCTCACTCCTCCCCCTCGCCCCGCCCCTCATTCTGTCCCTCGCTCCGCCCCTCGCTCCGCCCACACCACTCCACACGGTCGTTGGACGTCCGCAGAGTCCCTCACGGCTCTTCCTCCAGTGCCCCGCCTGTTTCCTTAGCGCCCCCCAGTCTCTCGCAGTTCTCCGCTCAGCTCCTCAAGTTCCTTCCCGGGCTTCATGCCAGGTCCCCTCGCGGCTCCGGAGTCAGGCGCCACGCAGCTGCACGCGCCCCGTTTCCTGCGGTTCCGCACGCGGCCTGCCACGCAGCTCTGCACGCGCTGCCCCGAAGGCGGCCGCTCCTCACGTGGCTCCTCGCAGTGGCTCGCCCGGGGCGCTCACAGGCCCCCGTCCCGCTCCCGTCTCGCGCGCCTCCCCTCACAGCGCCTCACACGCTCCACACGCTTCCTCCCGGGTCCCCACGCGGTCCACACGGAGGCGGTCACGGTTTCTCGCACTCCGTCACGGTGCCCGCACACGGTTCCGCCAGTTCCTCACAGCCCCCCACGTTCCCTCGTCGTTCAGCACAGCTCCCCCCAGTCCCCCCAAATTTCCTCACAGCTCACGCAGCCCCCCACTGTTTCACACGCTTCCTCTCACAGTTCCAGAGGTTTCTGCCAGTCCTCCGTCACACGCAGCTCCCCTCACGATTCCTCACAGTCCCTCACGCCGCTCCTCGCGAACTTCCTCAAACTGTCCCCACAGAGCTCGCCACGTAGCCCCTCAGAGCCACACCGGCCCCGCCGCGTTCACACGCGCCCTCCACGGTTCCTCACCCGGCTCCCCGCACGGGCCTCACAGACACCCGGTTCCCGCCCCATCCTCTCAGGGCCTCACACGCCCCTCGTGCTCCCTCACGGTGCCCGATGCGGTTCCCCACGTCGACCCCGATACGACCCACATGCGGCTGACCGCGTGCTTCCTCTCCGTGCCGATCGGTCCCCCACACAGTCCCTCAGAGCCACACAGTCCCCACACAGTCCCTCAGTGCCACACGGTCCCACACAGCCCCTCAGAGCCACACGGTCCCCCACACAGCCCCTCAGAGCCACACGGTCCCCACACAGTCCCTCGCAGCGCCTCCCGCAGGTCGACCCTTGGCCCGGACTCTCTGGACACGTGACACTCCGCCCCTCGGGTCTCGGCCGCAAAGCTTCTGGAGCGCCTCCCGGCCTCGCTGACTACGGGCCGCCCGCTGTGGGTCCCTCTCACAGCCCGTCTTTCCCTCCACGGGCTTCGACGGTCCCCCACACAGCCCCTCAAAGCCACACGGTCCCCCACACAGTCCCTCAGAGCCACACGGTCCCCCACACAGCCCCTCAGAGCCACACGGTCCCCACACAGTCCCTCGCAGCGCCTCCCGCAGGTCGACCCTTGGCCCGGACTCTCTGGACACGTGACACTCCGCCCCTCGGGTCTCGGCCGCAAAGCTTCTGGAGCGCCTCCCGGCCTCGCTGACTACGGGCCGCCCGCTGTGGGTCCCTCTCACAGCCCGTCTTTCCCTCCACGGGCTTCGCTCCACCGTGTCACTATCGTTGTGTTTCCATCCCCTGCCTGTCGCCTGCCCCCCGCCACGCTGGGGCCCCAGGAGGCCTGCCGTCCCCGGCACTGCCGAGCTCAGAGCTGTGCTCGCAGGTTCAGGGCACAGACGGGGGTGGACGACATGGCCCGGATCTTGGCAGGGAGCGGGTGCCGAGCCCCGAGCCCGTGAGGGTGGACGAGGCCGCCCCCGAGCCGAAGCGAGCCGCTCACCTTGTTGGGCCCAGAGTCCTGGAAAAGAAAGAAGGAAAGAGTCTGAAGATCTGAAGCGAAGCCGGGGCCCCAGGGTGCCCCCCGGCCACCGCCGCCTGCCCTGAGCAGGTCCCGCAAGTCCGGCCAAACGGCAGTGCAGCCTCTGGGGCTGCTGTCGCTCGTCAGCTCTCCCCGGCCCCAACCATTTCAGAGGACGGCGGGGTCTCCTGCGCTCTGTCCTGCCCTGGCCAGTCCGGGCCCTGCCGGCGAGCGGGTGCGACCCCCGTGGGCCCGGGCCACGGGCTCCCTCTGGGGGCTGGAGCTGGGCTGGGCTGACTGAGGCAGAGCTGACCACCTCCCGGAAGGACGCCAGCCAGCAAGGTCACCATAGCCCACAGGGACCCTCAGAGGGGCCCCGTGGGGAAGGTGGCACATCTCCATTTTACGGGTGGGAAACCGAGGCTCTGACGAGTGACAGGAATCACTACTCCATCTGTACCCCGCGACATACCCCCAGCGTCTCCGGGCTTTCCTTTGAACCCCAAGAACCTCTCGCCACAGCAGATGTGAGAGGCTCCCAGCACCCCGCAGGCAGGCCGGGGAGGCGCCTCCACGGTCCCACCCACCGGCCTGGCTCCAGGAACCCGAAGCCGCTCACCATTTCGGCCAGCGCAGAGATGACCTTCCCCAGCGTGGTCAAGGACTTGTTGATGTTGGCTCCCTCCTGCGAGGGAGACGGGCAGGACGTTAGGAAGCCTCGAGCGCCTCCTGCGCGCTGACTGCGCTGGGCCCTGGGGACACGGGCGGCCGCGGCGGGTGGCGGGCAGCGGGCAGAGGCCCACCTGGCCGGGCGTGCGGTTCGCCCAGCGTCTCCTCGGCTCCCTGGGAATCCTGGCAGCACCTCACACGGGCCGCCCGGGAGCTTCCAGGGCCCCTTCCCACCCACCAGGCCGGCGGGACCACAAGGCCCTAAGGGAAGCAAATGCCTTCCTGACACCTAAGACTGCTGGGCCCAGACGGTGTCCCCTCAGGACGCTGGCCAGCCACCCGCACCGCCACCTCGCAGCCGTGTCTTCTGTCGGGAAAGCCGCGGAGGGCCTGGCGTTCCCGCCGGGGTGGCCTCTGGCTGCTGGCCGCTCCGTGCCCCCGCATGGGCCCCTGGAGCAAGCCGAGCTTGGGGACAGGGCCCGGCGGGGCCGGCGCTCTGCCCTACCTTGAGGCGCGTGCCCTTGGCTCCTGTGGAGTCGGCCCGCTCGCTCCCGGCCAGGTCCACCAGGCTGATCTTGCTCACCTGAAATGGCAAATGTGTCAGGGGCAGAAGATGCCGTGAGGCCACTGCGGGGGCGCCCTGCCTGCGCGGGCAAGGCCCCGAGGGCCCCCCGAAGAGCCACGGCCCAGCCCTGCCTGGGGCCCAGGGGTCTCTGACCCCGACGCTGTGCCTGAGGTTCAAAGCCACCTCCCCTCGGAGGCTGCACACCCCCGTCCCCAGCGTGCCCAGTGCGGCAGCCGCGCTGCTCTCCGTGTGGGGTGCTCTTCCCCGTTTGCACATGGACACCCCATGGTGCCGGTGAGCTGTGTCTTTCACTACGACCTGTTTCCACACACAGGGCCATCGTCTGTAGTGGGTTTGACTCCGGTTCTGGTGTCCCGGCCACTGCTCAGCTGCCTCACAAGGGCGCAGCTGCAGGAGCCAGCCAGGGACCGGGCTGTGACACCCCCATAGCCCGGGGTGGTGGCCACACGCGGGCAGGACTCGCTCAGGTGTGAACAGGCACGGACACTGGTGAGACCTTCTCGGGGTGGGAGGAGGGCAGGCTGGCCTAGTTCCCTGTCCTCCTGGGCCCCACGAGCCTCCAGGAGGATGGTGCCAGGCCGAGGTGACCCTGGCACCATCAGGACTAAGTGCCATAACTTCCTCTGACCCCTCCGCGGATCCTGGGATGCTGCCTGAGGGACCTGGCCCCCAGGAGCCGGCTGAGGTGCCCCTGGCTGAGGTGCCCCGGGCGGAGGCCTACAGCGGGTCGGGGAAGACGGCAGTCGGAGAAGACCCGATGCCGTAGGTCAGAGCCGCTGACGGCCATAAGCAGGCTTGGCACCCGCCCTGCTGCCCCTTCCCGGAGCCCACGGACTGTGCGTGGGGATGAAGGCCCCAGGAGACGACACCTCCGCCGGGGGCCACTGAGAAGCCAGGGCGCGTGGGAACGGCGGCAGGGGCTGGGGGTGGCAGCGGGGCGGCTGGATCAGCACAGCCTCTCCTTTGTGCTCCAGATGCCGGCGCCCACGGGGAGGCCCTGCTCCCAGCCCAGCACCCTGCTCTCCTGCCAGCCTGCACCGGGGCCCACGGTCACTTCTGTGACCGGCACTCACTTGGCCTGAGACCTTCCAGCCTTCACCGCTGCCCCCCGGGGGCTGCCTAAGCATCCCGTGGTGCAGCCCTAGGGACATCCTCCCCACCGCCCCCAACTCCACCAAAACCATCTGGCAGGAGGGTCCACGGCCCCTCATTCCAAGTCCCTTCCACCCCCGGGTGGCACTAAATGCCACGATGAGATGGCCTCGCAGGCCTGGCTAACCTCGCACCAAGGCCCACGCTGGGCTGGGGGTGCCTGGGGCCCGGTGCCTGGTGCGAGGACACTGCCCACGCCTCGCAGGCCAGTGTTCGGCTTGGTTTCCTTGACCTGCCTGGCCGGCCTGACTGCCCCCCACCCAGGTGGCACCCACGCGCCAAGGCCATGCTCACTTTCTCCGTGGTGATGTCGGTCTCCGCATCGTGGCGCTTCTGGGTGAAGATGATGTTGAAAACGGCGTGGGAACGGCTGCTGGTCTCGTTCATGTTTGTGGCCGCCACAGTCCTGGGGGAGCGGAAGTCACATGCAGTTACCAGTCATCCCGTGGTCGGGTCGAGGGTCGCCGGTGGTGCCGGCCCTCTGAGCTGGGCCACGGGGTATCAGCTCCCTGCTGTCGGTGACTGTGCCTCCTGTCAGACCACAAGCAGGGCGCACACCTGCGCGCCCACTACACCCGCCTCAGCTCCAGCCTGGCACTTGAGGTGCTGTGACTGGAGGGTGCTTTTCTGGTCCCGGGCGCTCAGCAAAGCCCAGGTACCACTTGCTCAGCTCACTGGGTAGGAGCCCTCATGGCTGTGACACGGGAGGGCCCCATCCAGAAGGGATGCCCACCGCCTGCCCGCTCTGGGGAGGGCCAGCACTGTGGCGTGGGGCAGGGGGCGGGGCACAGCTGCCTGAGGGGAGATCTGGGGTGGTCCCGATGCCGCTGACATGCAGAAGTGTCCCCAGGCTCGGCTCCCTGCCCGACAGCCTTCAGCACAGAGGGGCCTCGTCAGAACAGCATCTCCAGGGGACCACGGCTGAGGCGTGGGGCAGTGGTGGCACACAGGGAGCCCTCACCCTCCAGGGAGTCCCTGGGTAACAGAGGACTGTTGCCACGGTGATCAGGGCAGACCCTCCCGGCAGCTCACGACTGGCAGTGCGCTGTGGCTGCCCCCCTCCCCACAGGCCCCCTGGAGCCCCGTCTGCAGCACCGTTTGTCCTCTGAGCAGGCGGGGCTGGACCTCAGTCTCCTGACCACTGGGGATGACCACCCGGGGCAGCCACCAGAGGCGATGCCAGCACCCAGCCCAGGGTCCACAGCCCACCCCCCAGGAAGAGCAGCCTCCATGTTGGTGACACTGTCCCCCTGTGCAGGGGGAACTGGAGGTCCCTCTTGGGCTGGCATGGGCCCCGAATGGCTTCAAGCTTACAAGGCCACCGCCTCCATGGGGGCCGCCTGACGGACTCCATGGGGGGAAGACAGGTACCATGGGGACCGTGCCTTCCTCAGTGAGACTCACGCGGTGGGGGGCAGTGCGGGGTGGAGGCCAGGGAGCGGGGCGAGTCACCCTGCGCACACCTGGCCTTGTTGCCCGAGTCCATGAGGTCCTGGATGTCGTTGTAGGAGGTGACGGCCAGCTTCGAGAGGTCCTCCACGTACGGCCCCAGCAGCGGGTGCTCTCTGACGCGCAGGTTGCCCTTGTTCTTGGGGTTCAGGAGGTCGCGGACACGCTCACAGTAAATCTCCATGTAGCTGACCTGTAGGGCACAGGCATGCTACCAGGGACCCCAAGGTGGGGTGCAGGGGCTGCCGTCGGGGACCCTGGGATAGGGAGTGTGGGTACTGCCCACAAGGTAGGCGGAGGCACGCAAAGGACTCCGAGCCCCCGCATGAGTGTGAGTTGGGGGAGTCAGCCCATGCCCACCGGCCTGGCCGTCCCCCACTCATGGGCTTGCCCACCGCAGTAGCTCTGGGGCCACCTGGGCTGAAGTGCGGCCCCGGCTGTGCGCTCTGAGGCATGTGTCCCGGAGGCTGGCACAGAGCAGCTGCTCGCTAAACACCGGCTAAGCTGAGGACCGCCCCTCACTCCTCTGTGCCCCGCACACCGACACGCTCTGCGTGGGCACAGTGACGCACGCACAGATAAGTGACAAGCTAAGGGCACGGACCGGTGGTGGGGACCTGCTCTGCACCCAAAGGCATTGCCGTCCATGCCTGGGACCCCCAGCCGTTCCCCAAGCACGGGACGCCAGGCAGGGAGCCCTACCTCCACGGAGTAGGACATGTTGTCGTTGGTCGTGTCATTGATGCGAGAGAACAGGTCCTCGCAGAGCTGCAGGGACCGAGGACACGTAGTCAGACGATGAGGGCCCTGCCCCCGAGGTGCTGTGGGCCGCCTGCGCCCGGACTAGGTGCTGCTCTCCCGGCCTCTCTCGCACACTCGCAGTCCGTGCTGAAGGCACTGAGAGGCCCTCATCCAAGGAGCCGTCGCCTTCTCTGTGACTCCGGGGTCCCCTCCACCGTTATCTGACCCTTGCCTACAGATCGTCCGCTTGCCCTGTCCTGCTGCTCACGCCATCCTCGCCTGCTCGGCGTGGAGGTCCACCACGCTGTAGACCAGCCGGTGCTTGCCGCCCTGACCAGGTCAAGCACTGACCAGCTGACTCACAGACCCATCTCGGGGGCTGGCCGGGGCGGGGACCAGGGTTCCAGCAGTATCTGAGGCGTCCATGTCTCAGCCTTCAGTTAACCAAAGTGCACCCTTATCCGAGCACCTCTCCCCGCCCTAACCACCAGCCCTCACAGCCTCCGGAGCGTCACGCCCACCAGCGGCTCCCCGCGCTGCCCCGCGCTGCCCCACCTCTGCTCAGACCCCACTCCTGCCAGGGTACCGTCCCTGCCAGGTCTCTCCACCTGCCCTTGCCGCCCTGCATCCTCCCTCCCCGCCCCGCGTGCCTGCGGGATGATGCCCTGCTGGTCCTTCTCCTGCTTGCCCATCATGGTGTAGGACTTGCCAGCCCCCGTCTGGCCGTAGGCGAAGATGCAGACGTTGTAGCCCTCAAAGGCATGCTGCAGCATCTCCTCGCCGATGTCCCGGTACACCTGCTTCTGCGACGCATAGTTGATGTCCTCGGGCTGTGGGACAAGGGGGCACAACTGCAGGAGGCTGGGCGCGCCCAGGCTCAGCCCACAGCATTCTCTGCGGGCCCACAACACATCCCGGGGCCTCCGGGGAGGGATGGGCCAGTGCGTGGGGAGGGGTGCCCGGGAGAGGGGGCACAATCCCGCCTGGGGGACAGAAGGCTGCTGAGGGAGGGGCGGGAGGAACGGCACTTTGCCGCTCAGAGGCGGGAGACCTAACGTGGAGCAGTGTGGCAGCTGCAGGGGTGACAGGGGTGGGGCCAGAGCAGGGTGGGGCCAAGGCCCAGGGGCCGTGGGCCAGGCTGTGGTATCTGGACGCTGTCCTGATGATGGCAGTAGGTGGGGAGCTCTGACGGCTGCTCTGGGGCCTAAGACAGGTGCTGGCACTGGGGCGGGCGACTGGGTGCCTTCCAGGACGATGCGGGAGGTGGGGGTGGGCAGGGCTGGGTGTGCGCTGGATGGAGGAGCTACCGGGTCCCCCAGGATGCCGGGGGAAGTGGGGGCTCAGGTGCTGCCCGTGGCGGGTGCACCCGTGAGACATGCAGAGTTTGGGAGTCTAGGGAAGATGTCCGCGGGCAAATGGAGGTACAGCGGGACCCTGGGACACTGCCTACCGTGAGCCGATGGCCCCTCGGTCCCTGCCTTAGCTGGGACAGCACGTTGCACAGCTCAGGGTGACCTTCCAGACCCCTCCCCACTGAGCCTGCCCTACCCCACCTCTCTCAGGGCCCTGCAGGGGAGAAGGGTGGTCGTCACCCCATTTAGAGAGGAACACGCAGGTCTGAGAGGCTGAGGGACTGGCTGAGGGACACACAGCCAGAGGGGTGGAGTGACCCACATGCCCGTGGCCCCCCTCCCCTGGACCCCCAGCCCAGCTCACCGAGGTGTGTGACCAGTAGGAGTAGTCGAAGCTGAAGCTCTTGGGTGTCTCCTTGGGCTGTTTGGGGTTCACGATGGCTGCGGAGAGGGGCACGGGGAGGGGGACGGGGAGAGGGACAGCTCGGTGTTAGTGCTGTGCTGCAGAGAGCGGCCACGCCCACCAGGGAGGGACCCCCGAGGCAAGGAGGTGGGTCCTCAGAGGCCTGTGGCCCCAGACAAGCCAGCACCCAAAGAGGGGGGTCCCCATTCCAGGCAGACAGCCATCGCGCCCCTCTCTGTGGCCGCCACTGCCCACCAGTGCCGCTGATGCCAGCCCGGAGCCACTGGTCAGACGAGAGCACACAGCCCGCGCCACGTCTCGTCCCCGCCCTGCTCACCCCTGGCCCAGGTCTTCATGTGTCTGCTCTGCAGCCCAGGCCCTGGAAGCATCCAGAAGGCTGGAGCATCCCGTCGGGGCCGTGCCCCTGCTTCTCTGGGCCCCTCAGACTACGTGGCATCTGTGCACTGTGTGTGCACGGGGTGCGAGGGACAGCATCGCAGGGGCCACTTATCCCTCTCCTGTGTGCACGGGTTCCTGCCAGGTGTGCTCGCCTGTGCTCTGCAGACTGTCCCCTGCACAGGTCCCTCCATCCCTCCCTCCTCCACCGAGCTGCACGCTGGCCTGGCGTGCTCCCAGCTCCTGGAATATCAGTTCATCAAGCTGGGAACGCAGCCACAAGCGCATGATGACGCCATCTGCCACCGCCAGCACCTGCCGAGTGTCCCAGGGGACGCCCGGCCCAGCCCAAGGCTGCTCTGTCCCCAGGCCTACGAGTGTCCAGGCCTCCAGCGTTTCCCAGGCCCAGGACCCAGTGGGTAGTATGTCCTCTGTGGCCAGGCACGAGAGACCTCAGCCCCTGCCCCTGTCAGGCCACCCTGCCCACTGCCACTACCTGAACCCCAAATGTCCACATTGATGGAGAACCCTGAGGCCTCCCGAGACCACACTGGGCTGGAGGCAGATCCCTCCCTGAGTGTCCACATCCACCAGGAAATCGGACCAGCCTGGTCGGGAAGGGCCCCGGGCCACGTGGGACGCCACGGCCCCAGCACCCATCCCATCTGAGAAAGCAGCCCGTCGCTCGCTGCCCCCATGTCTGGGGAGGCAGGCCATGGCTGCCCACCCCTCAGCTGGCCTTCCTCAGGAGCAGTGGGCCAGAGGCCTCACAGCACAGTCTCCAGGATCCCACACTCCGCCCCCAACAGGTGACTTGTCACCAGCACCAAGAGAACCAGACCCCATCCTGCTGTAATGTGAACTGCATCCCCTCAAAACTCGCACGTGGACGTCCAAACCCCCAGGACCTCAGGACGGGGTCTTATTTGGAGATGGGGGTCCTTGCAGATGTCAAGCAAGGTCACAGTAGAGTCAGACAGGCCCTGACCAACGTGACCGGTGTCCTTGTAAAAGGGGACGTTTGACACAGACACGCACACAGGGAGCAGGCCACACAAAGATGGAGCAGAGATGGGTGCTGCGTCCACAGGCCAGGGGACACCAAGGACTGCAGCCAGCGCCAGGAGCTGGGGGAGGCAGGGAGCTGACTGTCCCTCACGGCCTCGGAAGGAGCCAACCCTGCCCGCACGGCGACCTCGGCCCTCCAGCCCCCACACCTGATGTCCAAGCCCCCCAGGCCGTGGTACTTTGTCTCAGCAGCCCTGGGAAGGGACCCCCAACTGGCCTCACCAGGCTTCTGCAGCTGCCCCAGGCCCAGGGGCCGTTTGTTCTGGCTGAGTGTCCTGCTCACAGCACTGGTGTCACCTGAAGCTCTCTCTCCAGGGATGACCCGGCTTTGGGCCCCTGACCCTGGGGTTTGAGGGCTTCTGGGAGATGACCTGATGCCCAGAGGAAGCCACGGGAGGGAACAGGTGACTGACCGTCACACCCCTATCTTTGGAGCCGAGAAAGGGCCACGTCCATGTTGCCTCCAGGAGCAAGGCCCAAAGGACAGAGAGCTGCCCTGGTTCTCTCCCCTGCTAGGGCCTGGGGACAGGGCCACTGGAACCCCAGGCACGGCCGACAGCAGCTGCACCTCCTGATGCAGGCGGCCTGGGCTGGGCCTCTGCTGGCTCTGGCCGCGAGGGATGCCCCAGGACGAGCGAGATTCCCCTCCACAGGTCTCTGGACAGCCCAGCCCCCCAGCCCGCTCTCCCCCCGCAGGCTGGCGCCCCTCTGCCGGCTCTCTGGGCGGGCCTGGTCCCCCACTCCCCACCTCCATGCAGCCTGCCCTCCTTTGTCCTAATGACACTGGCCTGGCCCCAGGCACCGACCTCGCTCAGATGGTGTCCTGACACTGGCTTGTTTGCCACACACTCCGTGTGGACCGTGGGCTCCCTGAGTGGGGAGCCCTCCAAGGGACAGGGCCCAGGTGTGGCTCCAGGCAGGCGGGGGACGGCCCACAGCATGGTCCAGAGGGATGCGCTCTCGCCAGGTCCAAGGGCACAATGGACTGGAGCCGAGCATCTGCCCACCGCTGTCCCCGAGCCCTCGCAAGAGTGACTGCCAGGGCCAGGGGCCAACAGGCACCCCCCTCACCCGACAGGCACCCCCCACTGCCACCGCACGGCCTGCTGGGAGCAGAGCACAGCCATCTGGCTGCCGAATGGCCTCCCCGGCAGGGGCTCGGTTCTTCCTCGTGGGGGTCTGAGGACGGAGGAGGGAGGACGGGTCCTCTGGGGGTTGGTCCAGCCGGCGACTCTGGGCCAGCTCATGGGGACACCCCGGTGCCCGCTCTGCCCCTGCCCAGGGCGAGCTGCTGGGCTCTGTAGGAGTGAGCAGAGGGGCCAGCACCCGCAGGACAGAGACGTGGGGTGTGGGTGCCAGCTGGAGCGGGGAGGCGAGGGGCGGGAGGGCGGTTTCCCAGCCCGGGCGCCCGGCGGCTGGAGCACCACGCGGGGGGCGCACGTGCCAGCGCAGCAGCCTCGAGCATGGCGGTCTGAGCCTGTGGCTGAGCCCTGAGCTGGCCATGGGCAGAGCACGTGCAGTACAGCAATCGGCAGACACAGGCGTGTGTGTGTGCGTGTGCGTGTGCGTGCAACAGGGTGCTCACACGCGACCGAGCTGGCCACTGCCCAAACTTGCAGGACTTAGGAGGTGGCTTAGTTGAAACAGAGCCCAAACCTCAGTGGGGCTCCAGGGGACAGCGAGCTCCACGTCCGGTTCTCGCCAGGCTGGGCCAACCGCTCGGGGAGCACACGAGAGCCCCTCCCCCGCTCCGCCCTAGCGAGGAGGCACCTTTGACCCCACTGCACGTTGGCAAGCCCCCCGCCCCGCCAGTGCACCCCGCTTGATTCCGTGGGCATGGCCCTTGGCCTTGTTACCTACGTGTGTGCGTCACCTGCCTACCCACTGCAGTGTCACCCCCAAGGACAGCAAGAGCCTCTGCCCTGCCCCCCGGGCCGGTGTCTGGCATGGAGCCTCGCACGAGCTCATGCTCAGCCAGCGTTTGCCGGTGACATGAAGGGACTCCATCTCCAGCTGCTTCTTTCTGTGACGTGACCTCAGACACTCGCTTTCCCGTCTGTGCAATGGACGCTGTCCTCACCCCTGGGGGACCAGAGGGACAGCAGAGGGACAGCAGAGGGACAGCGAACCCTCAGACCGCTGCGGGGTCACCGCCGTGACCTCTGCCAGTGGAGCCCACATCGGCTGCAAGGGGCAGAGGGCAGCGCTTGGCCTCTGAGCTGTCCCTGGACAGTGCTGCTGGGCACCAAGGGCGTCTCGGCCTGGGGCCAGCCAGTGACCGCAGGCCCTGGGGACCTGGCTGAGGCTGCCGCCCAGACCCTGCCGGCTCCCTGCAGCCCCTCTAACGACACGGCCCTCGGCAGTGTCGCCGACTCCTTGGCCGTAGCCGAGCTCCCTCTGTGGCCTTTCATTCCCGCTCCCGCTGTATTTAGAACGTTCTAGAACAGTGACGGCAAACGGTGCCAACTTCCGAGGGTGCTGAGACTGGTTGACAGGGGCCTTTGTGGGAAGCCCACCACGAGCAGCTAGCAGTATCCGCGTGGGCAGAGAAGGGTCCAGAATGTTCTGGCTCACGGTCCTGAAAGGGGGCCATCCATTCCCTGGAAGCACAGGGACCAGGAGGGGGGCAGGAGGCCGCGAGGCTGGGCCACCGCCTGCGCATCAGCGCCCCTTCGCCACTGGGCAGCCGAATCCTCGGCTCAGGCTCTGCCCCCAGGGACCACCATCATTCATGAGTCACGGAGACAACGCACCTGCTGACAGGCAGGGGCGCCGTGCCCCACAGCCCCCCACAAGCTCTGAGCGGGGCCTGCACAAGCCGTCCACACAGGATGAGGGCCAGACACTCCACGGCCATCTGGAAAGGCCACTCAGCCCAGACCCCGTCCCAGAGCCTAACAGTGCCCAGGACACCTCCAGAGATGCCTGTCCTCGCCTCGACAGGCCATGGGAGGCGCCGTCAGCCCAGTGCCCCTCCCCTCGGAGGCCCAGCCTCCAGCCTGGTGGGTGACAGGCAGGGGGGCTGTGCAGGCCCAGAGCACCCGAAGGCCTCCCGTCATCCTACAACCTGGGGACGAGGGGGCGAGCGGGCCACCGGAGCCTGTGGTCACGGCAGCAGCTGCAGCCGCATAAAGATCCAAGTGCCAGCCGCCCAGCTGAGCGCAGTGGACCCCAGGACCGGGAGAGAGGGAGGACGGCTCAGCTTCCACGGCCCAGACAAGCCCCGCGAGCTGCGGCGTCAGGAGCCGGGGGTGCGGGTGGGTGGCGGGGTACGGAGGGCAGGGAGGGGCTTCTGCTCCTGGGCTGGGCGCCGCGCAGAGGGCGGGCTCCGTCCACCCGTCCGCATGCAGCGCACTCTCTGCAGACGTCTGAGCGACGCGGGCTGGGCGGCGTGTACTCTCCGCTGCCAGCGGCCTCGGCGCTAAGACCCCGCAGGGCCCGGCCGTCTTTCCTACCCTCTCGGAACCGCCAGGCTCCCTCCCCCTCCTCTCCATTCATCATGCTCACGCCAGGCCCCCCACTTCTCCGAAGGGTCTGAGGAGGCTTAAATTAGAAACCGAGCAGAGGAACAGACAAGGGAAACGATTTACAAGCCCAGGGCAGCTGAAACGAGTCATAACCCAGGGCGCTGGGTCGAACAGTGTCCCCCAAAGTCACACCCCCCCAACCCTCAGAATGAGGCCTTGTCTGGAAACAGGGTCCTTGAGATGTGACCAGTTGCTAAGACGAGGTCAAATTGGATAGAGTGGGCCCCACATCCAGGGAGCGGTGTCCTGTAAGGCCACATGGAGAAGGGGACACACCAGCCCTGTCGGCGCCTTGATTTCCGACCCTGGCCTTCAGAGCTATGAGAATACGTTTCTGTTCTTCTAAGCCCCACGGTTTGTGGCCATCTGTCACTGCAGCCCCAGGAAGCCACCCCGCCAAGTGGACGAGGAGGGAGCCGGGCGGGTGGGCTTCCGCGTCTGGCCGGGAGGCCCCGCCGCGGCCGGTACTCACTGGTGGTGCTCCCGGACATCTGGATGATGCACTTGGACTCACGGCTCATCTCCCGGGAGTTGAAGGGGCGCACGCGCACCGCCACCTTCACGGAGGCACCGGCCATCTCTGCGGCTCGTCGGTCACTCCTGGCAGCGGCGGGAGCCCCGGAGAGCACGGAGACGCCTGTGGGGAAAGGGACACGTGGATGGAGACGCCATCTGAGAAGCCAGAGCGAGGGCTCCCGGGTGGCGATCGAACCCAGTCTGCGCCCCGCCCTGCTGAGGGGCGCCTGCTCGCGGGACCGACCCCCAGGGTGAGGGGCGGCAGGGGCGGCTGCCACGGAGAAGCGTCACGCGTTTCAGGAATGAAAGCCGCAGAGCGTGTGGGGCCTGAGCAAGCCTGGGGGAGCAGGAGCCTAGTGAGACACACGCCGCTTGGCTCTGTGGGCGCGAAGCACTGCAGGAGCCTCTGGAGGCTGGTCCGGGAGGGGCCGGAAACGGGAGACTGTGGAAGGTGTTAGACCCTGTCGTGGCCCCTCGAAAGTCACGTGTGGAAGCCCCGACCCCCAGGACCTCAGGGAGGGACCTTATTAGGGAATAGGGTCCTTGCAGATGTGACTGGTTAAGGTGAGGTGGCACTGGAGTCAGGCGGGCCCCGATCCCACATGACTGGTGTCCTTACACCAGGGGACACTGGGACACAGACACGCACAGGGAGAACGCCCCGTGACGGCAGGCAGAGGCGGGTGATGCGTGTATAAGCCCAGAAACGCCAAAATTGGCAGCGGCCACCGGAAGCTGGAGAGGCGGGGACGGGTCCTCCCCGCCAAACCTCCGGCCTCAGAATGGACCAGCCCACAGACACCTTGATCTCAGACCTCAGACCTACATTTCTGCTGTCTAAGCCACACCATCAGGTTGTCATGGCAACGGCAGCCCTAAGACTACTGCAGACACCCAGACCCCCCCCCTACCCTGTGGACATCCAGAACCTCCCCACTCCCCAACCTCCCGCCACCTCCCCCAACCAGGCAGGGGCCTGGGGGTGGGGTCTGAGGACTGAAATACACCTAAAATGTCCAGCTGCACGACCAGCCTCGTCTCCTGCTGCTGGGCGCCCGGCATGCTGGCTGTCCTGGGGGAGTGCGGGGGTCTCTGTGGGGGAACCCAGTCAGGACCACACCCTCCGGCAAGAAACGCAGAGCCTGAGACAAATAGGAAAGGGACAGGGCAGAAGGAGGCGGTGCAGCGAAGAGAACACAACGATTTTTTAAATACCGTATAATTTATGCCCGTGAATGAGAGGAGGGTGCTACTTCGCAAAGGACCGTTTAATAAATAAGAACAGGACCTCGGAAATGAAGAACAGGAAAACAAACTCGAAAAGTGAAGAGAGACCGGTAAATGCAGTTAAGTAATTCACGAGAGGAGAGAAAAAAAACCGGAGAATCGATGAAAAGAAACTATGACAGAGATAACTCAAGAAAACGCCCCAGGACACACGGCCGCGAGTTTCCAAACTCAAAGCGTCCCACCTACCCACCCGCGACAAAGAGTCCCATGGCAGAGCAAACCGTGCGACGTCGGGACCTCGGGGATGGTGACGAGGGCCACTTCCAAACCGCTGAGGACGGCGACCGTCAGCCTCGCACTCTAAGCTCACCCAAACCACCAGTTGAGTGTGAGGGTGGATCGAACCCCAGGAACACTCTGGAAGATGCTAGAATCTGTGATCTAGTAAGTGAGGGAGAAACAGGAGGCAGTGGAGGAGACGTGGGGTCCAGGCCCACAGGATGGTGAGGGGCGTCCCAGGAGGACGCTGGGGGACACCCGATTGGAGGGTAACGAAAGTGATGCCACCAGGAGAGAAGCTGGGGCTGCGTCACACGGAGAAGCGTCGGCGACGAGCCATGACGCCGCGGGGGCCAGGCCTGCGCTGTCTGTCATTTACTCCCCGTAAAAGGCTACACCAGAAAGAACACAGCAGCGTGGCACACTCCCGCTAGCCCACAAAACGCCAGCGCGGCAACGAGGAACCTCGGTGGCCAGCCGGGGCGGAGGCGGGGTCGTGCGGCCGGCGGGGCCTTGGCGGGCAGAGGGATCTGTCATAGCGGGGATCGGAGCAGACCAGACAGACCGGGACACGGCAGAAATGGCAGCGTATGCCCGAGTGGGTGAGCTGCGGGCGAGCCCCACGAGGCCCCGGGAGCACTGAGCGGGGACTCGGGGCGCACGGCACGAGAGGGAGCCATCCATCCCCCACCAGCCGTGTGGACGCGCGTTACTTTGGCAATATTTTAAGAACAAATAAAAGGAGAAAACCCGGGGAAGAAGCCGCCGCTGGCGCCCAGCCTTGCTGAGGACAGAGGTCACGGAGCAGCGAGCCCGCGTGGGGCTGGGGTGTCGGGTGCAGCCCCCCACTGTCCAGGCCTCTGCGCCCTGAGAAACGAGAATGGCAGCCGCGGTGCAGCCGAGACCCCGCGGGGCCTGCTCTGCAACAACCTTGGTGAGTGTGCCGGTGACCTTGACATCCGCTTGAAGGTCACCTTCACACGCACACCGAGGAAGTGGCTCTCCCTGCGGACGCAGGCCCAAGGTGGGCTCCGTGCCAGGTCTTAGCTGGGCCCAGAGCGAGTGCCAGCGTGAAAGGTGTCCCTGGGCGCTGGAAGCTCACAGGTCAGAGGCAAGTGGACAAAGCAGCACCCTCAGCAAGACCCGGGTGAGGCGGGACGGTAGGCAGACGGGGGGCTCCCCGTGGGAGTGTCCGGGACCAGGGAGGCGGGGCCTTGGGGAGCCTGAGCTTGGCAGGGGGATGGCCACACAATACACCATCCTTCCCCTCGCGGGGGTGGCCCCTGGACATCCACCCACCTGCCCTGCACATCAAACAGCCCTAACCGAGGCACCGACAGGGAGCCCCTGGAAGAGGACAGGCCGAGGTGGGGGGTGCCTGGCACACAGGCCACCAGCCCTCCCCACCCCGTCCTCCAAGCAGGCCTCGGGCTCCGGCAAGGGGCGAGAGAGCTCATCCAGCACAGTGGGCACGTCCTCCGGGGACCGCAGGGTCCACAGCAGGGGCACCTGTGGGGGCCATCTCTGCACGCGGGGAGGGGAGCACGCGAGGGCTGGGACCCGTGCGGCCTTCGGGCTGCAAATCCCCCCGGACTCCACCCAGGGCCTGCTCCTCTACTCCTTGGAGACCCCAGAACAGGCAGACGTGGAGCAAGACTGTCCCCTTGGGCAAGCACAGCTCTTCCAGAGGCTACAAGAAAGAAGGAGCTGCCAGACCGGCGACAACTAGACCAACGCGGTCGGGGTGTGAGCAAAAGCTGGGGTGGGGGGCAGCGGAATTCCTCAGGGGGGCTGGAATGCAGGCGCCACACCCCACGGCCAGCACACGCCCACCTACACCCCAGGAGTGACCTCTCCAACACCCATGGGCGACCACCACGGGGTGCACGGGGGCACGCGCCTCTCTGAGGACCCGTGCTTCCTGACGCTGGAGAACCTTCGTGCTTTGGAACCGAGGAAAGTCGGGGCGTTGGGGCTGCGGCGGGAGCAAGGTCGTGAACGCCGTGAGAACGTGAATCGGAGTGTGGTTCCTAGCCAGCGTTTAGCAAGATGCCTTGTGCAAAAAGGCTGCATAGTTTGACTAAGGAACCCCGAGGACTGAAACAGGAAGTCATTAGAAATGAGGAAATATTTATGAAAGCAGATGTTCAATGCCATATTGCAAAATTTTCTGTTCTCCCCCAATGTAGCTGTATTAATTCAGCGTGATTTCAATAAGTAAAGTATTCCAGCAGGATTTTCGGTGGAATCCGGCAGGAGTTTGGAAGAGAATTTTGAAAAATAAGAACAGAGGGGGATCCTCCCTGACCGGCTATCGTATTTACTACAAAGCGGCAATAATTTCCTAAGTCCAGTAATGGACACATGAGCAGAGAGCTTGGCGGAAAGAACCCAGCACGACCACGGACAGACAGTCAGACGCATGCACAGACAAGTCCAACAGATGACAAGCAGCATCTCGGGCAAGCGGGCAGGGTTGGCGTCGGGGCAGCTGGCTCTCCCGTGTTGAAAAATGCAGCCAGAACGGTACCTTTGACAGCACCGCCAGGACACGGACGGGGCTCTGCTCCGAGCATGAAGCAGAGGGGACCCCGCCTCCGGGTGGTGGGAGGGGGCAGCAGAATGACGCCTCCCCCACACGTACAACGAGAGAAGCGGATACAATTTTAAATCTGTTTGAAGGAATCAATGAGCCATGGAAGCCACACAGATGCGGGGGCCGAGGTTCCAGCGACGCGGGGCTGCCAGAGCCGGGGACAACACGGGGCATGGGCAGCACTTTCTCCCTGAGCGAATGTGCATTCTGGCCGGGCAGGGGGCCGTTGCTGAGGGATGGAGGAACCTGCAGAGCTTTTGTGGAAAGAAACGAACCTGAGAGGTCAGACTCCCAGGAGAAAGGAGGAGGAGAGGACGAAGCCAAACACATGGCACTGTCTTCTCGGGACACGTGCCAGACTCTGACGGTACGAGGAGCAGATGTTTAGATACTCAAGCCGAAAGCATCTGCAAGTCAAAATTGCCGTCTCAGGTGTTAAGGAGACAAAGATGAGAGCTCAGGATCCCCCAGCGATCACACCAGGCCAGACTAGAAAGCTCTGGAAAGCACACACTCACACATGGCAGAACCACAGGTAGGGCAAGCCTCGTCAAAACTGCAAAGCTGCCCTGACTCAGCACAGTCTCTGGACTGGGGCCCCTCCACTCTACCTGCCCGGAAAAGGTAAATCGTCTGGAGCCTCTACAGAATCTGAATAGGCAACGTCTGACATTAAATCCAAAGTTACGAGGCATGAAAGCAACAGGATAAAACGATCGGGTCGGGGGCGGGGGTGGAGCAAAGGAAAACGCAGAGAAAAACGCGTGATCCAGATCCAGGAATTTCAAAGACTTTAAAATAACCGTGACTTAAATGTTCAAAATGAGAGGGAAAGATGGGGAGAATGAATGGGAAAATGGAGAATTTTGCGAGAGGATCTGAAACTACAAAAAAGGAATCAAATGAAAATTCTAGAACCGAAAACACGATAACTGAAATTAAGAACTTGAGAGATTAGATGCAGCAGAAGGCAGTGTGTACGGACTAGTGGACAG